CTCGCATTGTGGCAACATAGGCCACAACACAAGAACTTGCAGCGCCTCAGCAATAGTCCCGGTCGATAATGGTGGCCATCGACTCACACTCAGACTCTTTGGGGTCCAAATTGATGTCCCCTCAAATTCAAATTCAAATTCAAATTCCTCTTCTCTGCCAGCTCCCATTAACAAAAGCATCATCACCTTGGATCAGTTGTCCATATCAACGCCCGTTTCATCTTCTTCGTCTTCGTCACAATTCCCCATGGCCGCTGATTATTATTACTCGTCTGACGCTCCCTTGGCCCAAGTTCTCGACAGAAACAAAGGTATATATCCAAGTTGAGTTTATTATATATGGTCATTAGCTGTATGAATGTCTCCCTCAATCATTCATAGGTGAACTGTTCTCTTTAGTTAATATACTTAATAGGCACCTTCAATTTCTTTAGAACTAGCTTCTATATATAGAATGTTCAAATTTGTGGAGAGTTTTCCTTAACTAGTTAAAAGCCTCTTATTACTTTTTGGGTCGTTGATCGAATACTCGTACGGATAAATCTCAATTAAAGATTTATAAATAAAATAAATGAATAAATTAATATTTCAAAAAATAAAGCAATGTATTAATATCAAAGACTCATGTATCGCATGGGTAGGTGTACGACTCGATTATTACATAAAGATGAGCATATGTAATCTCCCTTATATATAACTCCTGAATGTGCTGAGGTTAAGTGGTAAACTTGCACGCTTCGAGGTCTTATTTGACAAAATTTAATGCTTCGCCGTTTGGCTTGGATGACTTTTAATATACTTTCATTCCATACATAATTATCTTCGAATTATCCATAAATATACTCATATTTATAACAATTTTTACGAGCATTAATTGTGTTTTAATATAATTTTTTATCATTGACGTAGTTTACAAAGAATAAAATTTTTTCCCACGATCTTTCTTTTTCTGCCAATATTTTTTTTAATTATAATACACTTTACTCACTTAAATATATGGTATATATATTTTAAAAGTTAGTTTTTAATTTTATTATCAATTTTTTATATATAATATATCAAATCAATCATCTCTTCATTAGCTTCGGTTGCATTTATATTGTATGATAAAGTAAATAAATAACTATATGTATTTACAAATAAAAGTCAAATTATCTATTGATTTTAGTTGAAAAAATTAAATTAATTATCAATTGAACAAATTCAATGACAAAGTAGTTATATGCTATAAGTTAATTAATCATCTTAAATATAAGTTAATTCAATGACAAAGTAGTTATAATATTTTTTAAGTAGTACATGTGATACTGTCATTTTAAATATAAATAATAATAATATATTTTTTTTCAAAAAAAATATTAAAATTTTAAACATACTTTTTATTACTTTTTATATTTGTGTATACACTTTTTAATAAGCACTCATGTTATACACATGTATTGTATTATTATTTTATATATTTAAATATATATTTTTTTAACAAGTCCCGTGTAATACAGAGTATTGGATCTTTTCACAATTTTGGGAAATCCCAGTGGTACTTTATGAAAATTAAACTTACCATAAAGCTCAATCTTGCTACATTGACGTCAAAAAACACTTCCATGGATGGACAAAAATAGGAGTTCCATGGACAGAGGAAGAACATGGAAATTTCTTAATCGGACTTGAACGGCTAGGGAAAGGAGATTGGAGGGGCATTTCAAGAAATTTCGTTACAACGAGGACCCCAACGCAAGTTGCTACCCATGCTCAAAAATATTTTCTTCGGCAGGCGACCCTCAACAAGAAAAAGCGCCGTACAAGCCTTTTCGACATGGTAATACTTTGAACTGATCATCTTGTCTTACATTTTCGAAAGCTCCATTTTTGCTCCTTCGTGTCGCGAAAAAATGCCACTTTTTATTGTTCGCCGTTGGTTTTTTATGAGCATGCCATGATTGAAATTTTAGCAAAACGTTTTCGGATAACTAGCGACCGACAAGTTCAGGCCGAGTCGAGAAATTGTGAATATATTATATCGGTTACATTAATCAAGTTGGAAAACAAAATTTAATTTTGTAATCACACAAAATTTATTCAGCAATAATAATGCATGCAAGATTAGTTTTTGTTATGCTATATATTGTTACATGTTTGTCCCTTGTCTGTCCATAGCATGGGTTATAATACTAGTAATAGTGCAAATAGGGATTTTAAAATATAAACTGATATAATTTAGGGATTGAGAGCTTTGACAGGGAAGATTAATGTTGGAGTTAATTTTTAATGCCATGCCAAGTAAACTAAGGCAAGTAACTAGTGATGCTAGTAAATAGTATAGGGAAATGTTACGATCCCTTTACGAAATCATTCTGTCGAATTTTGTAACCGTTAGATCAATTGTACCCAACGGTTCCGACAGAATGGTGGTAGCACCTCCCAATAGTATAAATACTGTAATTTTTCCTATATTATGACACATATCGCCCTACTGTCAAAATTTGTCACAGTAACCATTCAAATAGGACCACGGAAGATACTCGAAGAGTTGCTTAATTTGGGAAGAACAATGATATCAGAATCTGACATACACTTAAAAGAAAAACCTTATCACCCAAGAGCGCTTGGATGAGATGACTTGGGTCTCTTCCAGCTTAATCAGTGGTCTCGTGTTCGAGCCCTGGGAATGCAGCAGTGTTAAAAACTCTTGAAGGAGAGCTTTGCCGCCCTTGTGGTCCTACCCGGCTCGATTCTGGATTAGTCGGTTCCCATGTGGATCCGGAAACCGGAAGGTCCCTTTAAAAAAAAAAAAAAAAAACCTTATCTATTTTGTTCCTCTCTGGCTATTTCCATTCAATAATACCGTACAATTGATGGTGACTGCACAGAATATGTCATAATATATTGCAAAGGTACGGCCAAAATTAAATTATTGTTCTGTGTAGCAGTTATATTCCTTTTTTTTTTTTTTTGGCTACGAGAGAGATATTGAATTATGGGTAGAGCTAGATTTTGAACAGGTTTTGCACTTTCAACGCAAAAGTGACGTTGGAAGTGGTCCTAATAAAAGATTCCATGGATTTCCAGAATCCAATAGGTGGTCCTGACCTGACATGGTAAATTTATGTTCACTTTTCAGAAAATACGACACTCTAGCACCAGCCCCCTCTTACTCGGCCGGCCGGCCGCTGCAGCTTTCGAGCCGGATTTGCCGATTCGGAGGCTGGACATTGCTCAGCCGCTACTCCTGGAGCCTAGAGGAGACTTAGATATGTCCTTGCCATTCCGCCATCTCCCCGACTCTAGTGATGGTAGTTGGCCACCTCGTCTTCCCTCCAGCCTCGGGAGCCCGTCGGTCCAGTGGAGCTTTGATCATGGGTTGTCTGCTCCGTGTTCATGGAGGGGCGGTTGTCCAGTGCGCCTCGACTGCCGGTAGCCGGTGATGTTCTCTCCGTGGGCCCCGTTTCCGATCCCTCTGGTGTTGAAGTTATTGGGAGTCCATATCTAAATCAAATATTAACTCCTTGGTGGATATGTCTGGGCGGTTCGCGTTCGGTCGCAGTTTTTTTGTCTGAGGTTTAGGTTTGTTGAGACATGATAATGAACTAAGCTTCACTTTTGTCACAAATTTTCATTCATGGGATGTTATCCACACGTTGCATCTAACTCATGAATCTAGGTTATGTTTGGCAAATAAATAAATTAGCTTATAACTTATTTAATTAGCTTATAAGCTTCTTGTATTAAGCTTCATGTATTTAAATAAACTTGGTTTGGTACGACGAGCTTTTTTGAAAAAGCTCGAATTTATCTCATAAATTTGTTTAGGTAGCATTCAAGATAAACTCGTTGAAATTATTTCAGCCAACTTATCAATTAATTTTATGAAACACTTTTATCATAAAAGCAAGTTTTCAACTATAAGCCATAAGTTATAAGCTATAAGTTCGAAAATTACTGATAAGCTATCCACTACTTTCGCCAAACCGAAAAAATGGACCCAAGGTCGCGTAGTTATCCCTTGAGCTAGATTAGATACAAAAAGTAAATAAAGAAATTATCCCTTGAACTAAACAAAGATCGTACAAGATAAAATTTATCCATATACCTGAGCAAATCAATAAGATTTTCAACTATAGACTAATACGTCCATAATTCCATGAAACCTGAATCAAGTTGATCACGGAAATATCATGCGCGGTCCCCAATTAGCAGAAAAACAGTTTGTCTGGGCACAGAGAGTATGTGGACTCTAAATCGACACGTCTCGAAAGGTTCATGGGACAGATGATCTTAGGATATACCCACAGATACAATTTTGTCCTTATAACCTTGGAGGAACAGACATCTTTTCTCAGAGCTATTGTATATGTAACTGCATGCCTTAAGCCATTACAACACTCCAAGATTATATGGTCTTTATGCCATTGCATCACTGCATGAATGCCAAAATATAATACACAAAACCTTGTTCTTAACAAATCATATAGCGCCATCAATACATCTACAACCAATGCCTGTGACTTCTTGATGTTCATATCAGCATTTTCACCTTGTTCTTAATGTGATTCAAGATGTTATATCAACTATGAGTAGAACATAAAGAAGTCACAGGCACAGCAATAAACCAAAACTCGACAAAGTTAAAAAAGGGAACCAGGAGAGAGTGGGACGGCACACCAGCACACCATAGAGTGAGTTTGGCAAAGATAACCATATGCTTCAAACCTAATATTACATATGTTTGAGGAAGCAAATGCAAATTTGTGAGAGATTACTGCAGAGTAGGCAAAAATGGCAATTATATATTGTGGAATTATTGTACAATATGTACAAATAACCATTTGAGGAGCTGATGAATTCCAAGTTGTGGTGTAGTATCATCACAATCTAAAGGTGTGATAAGGTGAAAAAAAATGATATGGCAAGTATATCTTGCATTGCATCATCTATCTGCCAAAATCACGGTCGGTGTTTTTCTGAAACCCATGTGAGGACTTCCTTATCAACTTTCAATGTCAGTCAACCTCCTTGGCACTCTTAATCACCTGTTCCCCCAGGGCATAATAAGGCCGTAAGGTCAAGTCTGATATTTGGAGTTGTGGTTCATTTCTTACAATTTTATTATTATTTAGTATTACTATTATTATTATCATGAATCACGAGAGCCTCGGACCATCAAAGAAATATGCTTAGCACTGTCTGCACGCACACTGTCTCCTCTAAGTCCATTCTGGGAAGACAACAAAAACAAAAACAAAAACAAAAAAAGAACAAAGAAAACGTTGAATAAACTTCAAAACTCAACCCAGATAGACATGGAAAACCACTGTACAGTAAAACGACTACGTAAATATAAGGGTAGCTTACAAAACTAGGACGAAAGGGTATAAGCCTAAATATTAAAAGATTTTGTCATTTCCCAGACTTATAAAGAACCAGTTTCTAGAATTATAAATAGATCCCCTATGACAGAAGAATTCATAAGAAAGAAACAATACAAAGAGTAATTCATCATCTTGAACGATGGCTAAGTTTTGTAATTTGACTGCATTTTAAAGGTAGTGATATTTGTAATTAACCCCAAATATTAAAATAGAAGACAATAGGTTACCTCATGTGTCGACTCAGGAGAAAACCACCGCAACAGCACTCCAAGATGTATCACAGCAGGGATTAGCTTGAACAGTAATGGTGTTGTTACCTGCATATTATCTGCGTGAGCATATATATACACCTTAACAAGCAAAAATATTAAATTTGAGCAAATACAAATCTGAAAAACTGATAAAAAAAGGGTCTAACTGCAACGTAATAGACAAGTATGAGTTACTTAAGATGCAACTTGAGAAAATGCTGGGAAATCACATATATTTGGAAACTGTGTCAATATAATTACAGCATAACCGCAATAGTGGCAGAAAAGCTTCATAAATACCCAGCTAACACAGTTTCTGCTTAGATTGACCTTGGTATTACAAAGGCCGTGGGAATAATGAGGCAGCCAGAAACACCACAGGTTTTACTTCATTTCTACAAGTTTCTTGCAATTGGTCTGAACTAAAGTACTGGGGGATTCTGATTTGGGCTCTTAAAAGATGTGTCAAACTTCTTTCAACAATAAAGATAGGTGTAGTTATAAAAATAATTAACTAAATAAATAAACGAAAAAAGTCACGCAGAAGTACATCGGTGGCTGATATTAGTGTTGGTGAAGGCATGAAGCAGGAACCGTGAATGATAAAACATGACAAATCATAATTGAAGTTAAATCCAAAGTTGGAAAGTAGCCACTGGCATAACAAATAACCTGGAATTCTTGGTTAGGAACTCTAAAAACTCCTCCAGTATAGACCAAATATCTTAAACTCCCTCCCCCCATAAAGATATGTTTACCGCAATATACACAAAGTTTAATAAAACACAATATTGTTGGAAAATGAAAAAGTACTCGAAATAGACTAAATTAATTACCATTGTATACAATGACTATACTATTGGTTGTTCCACCCATCAGTTAGATAGTATATGTAAGATGACTATACTGTCTTTTTGGAGCACCTTAAATAGAAATGTTGAATATCTTCTTAGACAGAATTAGTAATAACTATGCATAAATTTCCAGTAAGGACTGAAAAATTAAGTAAAATGGCGTCTTCTAAACTACAGTCCATATCCAACTACTTCTGCTAGTTGATACTTTTCATATTCAAGTAGGTGCAAAATTATATAGGTAACTCATCTCATTCCCGGGCCAAAGTTAAAAGAAATATCATCTGACCATTTTCCTCGAATATATATCAAGCACAAACACAGTGGTAATCTTTTGTAGATAATATATGCATGAATGATATTGCATAAATCGAGTCCTTTCAACAGTAAAAACACAAACAGAAAACTATTTAGGAAGTATGCAAGATAAATAAGAGGTCATGGGCACTGCCAAAAACCACATAATTTAACAGTCTCACATACCAGGCTAAGAGCTGTTGTTCCAAGAAGCAGCATGTACAATTTACCCTGATTAACCAAATTAGTTGCCCATTTCAGCAAAACATGTAAAGATGATAACTATAGTAAAATAAAATATTATGCAACGAACGTGATTTCATCAATAAGTAAATATATTGTTGTGTAGCTAAAAGCAAACAAACAAACTTATGAAGGGGTAAACATAAAAAATAAAGCAAGACCTCAATCAGCTTAAGATTTGATGCACGACTAAGAAGAACGAAAGCAAATTCTCCTATTTGTGCAAGAGACATCCCAACCTGTATGTGAATATAACCAAGATTCATTTGTCGAAAATAACAAATTAGAACTTAAAAAATAAGATAGGAAATTACATACAAGAAGCGACGTTTTGTTGTTGTAGCGGAATCCTCTCACAACCAAAGTGATCACAACTGTTTTTATCACAATCACCAATATAACAGCAGCCACCAAGATATCAATGTGGTTCCAGAGGAAGTGAACATGGATAAGCATTCCTATACTGGCCAGAAAAAGGGCAGCAAACAAGTTTCGGATTGGCTCCACCTGCAAATCAATGAGTCCAGATATGGAACGCTCAGTGGATTACTCTTTTTCTTTTATTTTCTTTTCTGTGTGTAATTGTGTGTACTATGAATTCGTGTGTGCATGTATGCAAATATGTATAGTATGAATATCAAGTAACTAGGTTTTGATGGATTTTAAATCCGCAAAGGCTTAAAATTAATTGACTGAAGGATTTTATAAAGAAAAATTCTACTTGTACATAATAATTTGTAAATAATGATGTACAAATATACAGGCTCTAACATGGGTCTCCACTTGAATATTTTATTTTAATGGACCCCACCCCATGCGAGAGTATATACTATTGTATTAATATTATGTACATGTAGGCTGCAGCATTGGTCATAAACAAATTGACAGTGGATTGAAATCCTTTTCCTAAAACCTTTCAACAAAAACCGAAAGCCTTCGGATCATTAATATCTTATTTATTATACGTGGACATTTTCTTATAACCTACTTGAAGCAATGCTAATAAGAACTCGTACTAGTCTAGAAATAATGTCATCCTCGAACTCTTACTATTTAATCTTTTAAGATCTATTTAATCTTCTTTCTAACTTTCGTAATTACTTTTTTGTGCTCTTAGTGGCTAGGTTGTTTAATTTGGTTTTCATTTTTAATTTAGTTTCTTAGTTAATAATGTCATCTTGAAACTCGTACTAGTCTAGATAATATCAATTGTCAATTATAGTAATTAATTAATTTAACACCGATCTCTGTGGAATACAATCTTACACGTCATTAACTATAGCTGTACACTTGCGGGTAGTAAAAAATATTGGTGGACAAGCATTTAGCATAAAACCAGTAAACCAAAACGCTAACTAACTGCTCTTTCAACAAAAAATTAAGTCAATAATTTTCTTGGAAATCGGCTTTATCCCCTTTGGTGAAGGGCATCTTTCCGGGCAAGCATACGGAGTTTAATCCCATGGGTGTGTGTGCAGGGGGATCTTTCCATTGTTCATCAGAACAGATATTACTCTTTGTTAGTTTAGTATTAGATGAAGTCAGGAATATTCTTGAATAAAGCACCAAATAAGCATATTCAGGATTTACTAAACCAGAATCCAGGTGTTACTTCTGAAGAGAAAGGAAAGTAGGAAATGCAGATTCAAATGGATTTAGAAAACATCAGGAAATGTAAGAAAAAAGAAATGTGCATATAGACATAATAACATCAAGTTCCACCACATTTACATGTTAATGCATAAAGATAGAGATGGGAGGAAACCCTAGAACTAGAATTTAAATATAAAAAAAGGGCACCTGTTCAAGAGTATGCTGAGCAAGATCAGTTGTTGATATCATCACTCCAGCAGCAAAGGAACCCAATTCCAGGCTTAGACCTAACTTGTCACTACACTGAAATGAGAAAACTATGCATTACACATAAGTATTTGAGATGCATAGACAGGTGTATGACCAAGTGAGTGGAGGGAGAAATAGTTAAAAAAACGTGTAAGACTAAATAGGATATCTGTTCGAATTATAGAAGTTACAGCAAACTTGACTAAGCCAATTTCAGCAGAATTTCAGCAGAATTTCATTATAGCAGAGTAATGAATATTAATTGGGGAAGTCAGACAAACCCAAGCAACCAGCAAGCAGAAAGCCACAGATGCCAATTGATAGAGTTCATTAGTCTGCAAAATTGCAGGACCGAAGTCAAAACACAGAAACACTGGTGAATTATTATTTTGCTCAAACACAAAATACCTGTGAAGATAGGCTAATCATCAACTTAAGAAACCAGGGGATACAAGTGCGGGACAATATTACCAAGATTGCCAAAAATGTAACTAACACCACCAACCTGTCAAAGGAAAAGAACAGTCCTAATAAAATTATCTATGAATCATGGAAAAGCAAGTCCAGTAGTAAAGACAATATAAGAATCTTCAAACTGTTCCTATAGGATTTTAGAACTCAATCAATAATATATATTTCTCTCTCACTCTCTCTCTCT